ATGGAGGACATCATGTTAAGTGATGTAAGCCTGGCTCAGAAAGACAAAGGCTGCATATTTTCTCTCATATGTGGAAGATAGATCCAAAAGATAAACATATACCCAAAAACAAGCATGACCATATATGGAACTTGGGGAAAGAGGGAAATGAAAAGAGAATGATAGCGCATCAGTGATATTGTAAAACAAAAGATCTGTGAAAGTCTAATATCTTAGGATATGTATTGAAAGCTGTTTAAAAATGAGGGGGTGGGAGAGAAAGTGGTAAGGGAGAGTAATGGAAAGGGTTAAATGGACCAAAGTAAAGTATACCCACAGTGGGCATTCCTTGAGAAACCCCTTTGAATATCAACCTAAATATTAATAATGAAAGACAGGACTGTAAAATAGGTACTCTGTGTGTGTGTGTGTGTGTGTGTGTGTGTTGTGTGTGTGTGTGTGTGTGTGTGAGAGAGAGAGAGAACTAGTGCAAGGAGGGAGGCGAATTAAGGAGATTAAGGTAAGGGTATATGGTTGATGAATTTCATATATTTATATGTAATAGAACAAAGAAACCTCTTGGGGTTGCTTTAAATGGGGCGGGAAGAGGGTTAAGGGGGAGATACAATAGGGGTGACATAACTAATGTATGATATAAGTCTAATGGGAAATATCACTATGAATCCCCCCGTACAACAAATATATCCTATAAAGGTAAAAAAAATTCATAGGTTTCAGAAACTTTGGTAGAGTTAGGCTTCAATCCTGGTTCCAATTTACTTACCTAAATGATTCAACTTTTCTAAGTTTTGGGTTCCTTATGTCTAACAAGTACCTAGTAATACAAGTACTTCTTTTTTTTTAACCTGTGATTTATTTCAAAATTTTGAATTTGTAAACATTTAGTGGAATAGACAGTGGAAGATGCTTAATTTTAGAGCTAAACTCATTTTGGTGAATTTTGGTGACATAAAACTATTTCTAATTCTTCTCTCTCTTTCTCAAGTCTATCTCTGTTTCTACCTATTAACTATCTATTACTTTATTCAGAGGATGTTAACAGCTGTATTAATACCCTTAAGTCTTAGAGGCATGGCACTTTATACACTTATTTATCAGTCACACAGTGAAATACAGGGGTACAGGTTCTGTTTCATGTGGTCAGTCAGGGATCCAGGCTCCTTCCACTTTGTTGCAAGGTTGTGTGATCTTACAATCTCCACAGATGGGAAGAGAGAGGAAGGATGTGTCACTTCTACCTATATTCCATCAATAGACCTCTGCCATGCCTTGCCTAAGTTCAGGAAAGGCTGGAAACACTTCCTAGGCATATGATCACTAAGAAGAACAAATGCACCCTGCTGACCAGTAGCAATCTGTGACATATTTATTATATTTTTGATGCACAAATATTAACCCATTGGACCCTGCTGAAGATATTAATCATATGCATATACTGTATATTTATATATTATTGCAGTTCTAAAATATGAAATCTGAAAGACAAAACTCAGCCAGTACTGAAGATTTCATATTGGTGGATGCATCTGGGATTGAGGATTGCATGTCACCACTCTCCATGGCCAGATAGCCTGAATTTGAATCTAGGGCTGTTACTTTGTAGCCATGTGACCATGGCAGTTTTGGTACCTTCTCTAGGAGTTCCTCTTTTTCATTTGCTAAAAAGGAGATAATAATGGTACCTAGAAGGATAAATAAACTAGCATTATGCAATTGAATCAATACAATGCCTAAAATAATGGATACTAAAATTTACCTTCAGTTAGTATAACTGTTATTATTATTAATGATATTTTAAGCACTTAGTACAGAGAACTATGTACAACTGCCTTTCACAATAGTACACAGTAGTCAAATAGCCTTTGCTTGAGTACATTCAAAGATAGAAGTTTATTGTGTAAAGTGATGACCATTATCATTAATTATCTTTACTAGAAAAGTCATTTAAGTAGTTACTATTATGGTTAACATAATAATAAATAAAAATAAAATAATAAATATTGAATGTATATTTGGTGCCATGCACAAATCCGAGAACTTTACTGACATTACTACCTTTTCATTCTTATTTTTTTTATTTATTCATATGTACAAACATTGTTTGTGCCATTTCTACCCCCTGCCCCGGCCCCGTCCTACCCCTCTCCTCCATTCCCTCACTTCAGGCAGAACCTGTTTTCTCCAATTTTGTTGAAGAGAAGACATAAGCAATAATAAGAAAGTGTTCTTGTTAGTTGAGATAAGGATAGCTATACAGAGAAATTCCTAGCATTGTTTCCATGTACATGTGTATTACAACCCGAATTGATTCATCTATACCAGACCTCTTCACTACATCCCGGTCACCTTCCCATATTGACCTCTGTCATTTTAAGGTTACTATATTAACTCCTCTACAAAGTGGGCACATCAAACACTTTCAAGTTTTGGGTTTCCTACCTTTCCCTATTCCTCTTGTATGTGTTCTCCCCTTAGTGTGTGATCCATGTCCAATAATATTTCTGCATTTGTTTTAGGTCTAAAGTCCACATATGAGGGAGAACACATATGAGGATTTTTGGCCTTCTGAGCCTGGCTAACTTCACTTAAGATGACGTTCTCCAGTTCCATCCATTTACTTGTGAATGACAAGATTTCATTCTTCTTCATGGCTGAGTAAAATTCCATTGTGTCTAAATGCCACATTTTCTTAATCCATTCATCAGTAGTGGGGCATCCTGGCCTTTTCATTCTTAAGTTAACCTGTGAAGTTGCCTTTGCTGCTGATGTTCTGCTGATGAACAGTAAGGTGCAGAGGATTTAAATACTTGCCCAAGGTCTTACAGCCATTTGGTGGAAAAGTGGAGATTAGATCCAATCATATTTAAACCCAGGGCTCTTTCTGAGTTATTCATTCGGCTCTTCAGGTTTATACAAATTAAGTGGGAAACTTCCATTTCCTTTTCTTTGTTCAGATGGTCTCTCTGCTGTTTCTACTCAAAATATGTTCCATTTCTGTTTTCTAGAGACATTAGCTAATCTTTTAGAAAATGTAACTGTAACAGCCTTTTTAAAAATGTGCTTTTGGTTAAACATTTATTAACTAAGCCATTTGTATGCCATTAAAAGACATTGTACTAAGAAGCAAACCATAAATACCAGTCACAACCAATTTCTCAAATTATAATCAACATTCATCATAGTTACTGATATTTTACATAAACATTATAAAAGCATTGTTATGCATAATCCTACATTATTACCATCAGACTACATTTACATGTAAAGTTGGATATAACGTACTATAGGAAATTGATAGCATATTTCTGATACATAAGTTATTTCAAGTAATTAAATCACTACTAGATTTTTATCTTTCTCATCCTCTGTAATTAGCTATAAATGTTTTTATTAGATGAACTAAGGCCTTTGACTTCTAACTTAAAGATACACTAAGGCAATACAGGAATTGATCTTGTGAGTAAAATATAGTAAATACTAATAGGATATTCTCCTAGGGTAGTCTAAACTGCCACCAAAGGAAGAAACTTAGGTCACTCTTGTAATGTCCCCTTTGTCGTCCCCACCCCCATTGCTGCTTGCAAGTCCAGGCTAGGCACTCTGCTCTGTCCTAACATCTTAGTTCACACCTCCTCAGCCACTACCAAATTCTGCCCTTCTCTTTTCAGTGATATGTCTTTGCTAATGTATAAATGATGTTTTGGGATCCTGGCCCAAAATCTTATGTCCCTAGAACACTGTGTGAGGACAAAGAACTTAAGAGGTACTTTGCTGTACCTGGAAATTTTGCTCTGGGACTACCAACTAAATGTCATCCCAGGAGGCTCCACTTTTCTGCTTCTATATGGCCTTTTACCCAAATAGTTTCCTATGTCCAAATTTACTTTTCCCCTCCTGAATGTGAGAGATTGTTAAAATTCTACCAAGTTCATCTTTTGAATTCTTCTCTACTCTCATCTCCAATGCCTTTACCACAGTTTAGTCTTTCATCAGCTCCTAGATTCTTAGATGAATAGCAGCTAATTATGCTACGTTTCCAAGAACATAGCTCAGATACATGAACACCCCTGCTGACATTTCCGCAGGAGCTCCTCATCGCATACAAGATAGTCCGACATCCTTAGTTAGCACCCTATCTGAGACATGTTAGGACTTGCTTTTGCCTCCTTACACAATCCTCCCTCTTGGTTCTCCTGATGAGCTCCAGAAGTTTTATTGCTCACAGACCAAGCATAGTCATTCAGAATATAAACCAACAGATGAGTTATACTTGTACTCATAGTTTTCTAACAAAAATATAAGGCTCTGATTTCATAGCTGGTCAAAGTTTTGTTCATTCTCCTAATATTTAGATTTAAGTGTATTGCTTACTATCTGTGACCTGCTACGTAGCAGATGAATCACGTGAATGACCTCATTCTATCATCTATAGTTAGTATTTGTCACTGCATAAAACTATGCTATGTGAATACCCAGAACATATTTTATTTTACTAGCTACTCATGCTCAGTATTTCATGAACAGCACCACATGATTTTACTACAGATCACCCCACTTATAACTTAGGAAGACACTTCTTTGTAAACTTGTCAGGCTGCTGAATATAGCATTTTTCTGTATTTAGTTTCTTCCCGCTCTCTCACACATACTGAGCCTTCCATAAGAGGATTTTGAACTACATTATCTTTGTATTCCCACAATGAATGGCCATGGATAAGTGCCAGAAAATATATCATTTACCTTCTGAGATTGTTTGCACACAGCTAGGAAAGCCACATTCAAATGCATCTAAAAATGTTGGAAATACATTAAATGTGGATTGTAACTTGTACTACTTGGGAAAGGTAAGAGCAGCTTCTTGAGATTCCAGGAGAGGAAGGAAGTGTTCTTAAAGTTAAAAAAAAGATCAAATCATCAAGCTCAGATTTTTCCACTAAGAAGTCTTTTTAAAAAAATCCCTTTTGAAGTATCAAATAATATAAAAGGCATCTAAGACTCACCTCAAAACTCACAGCTCCATTGTGGTCAGTGTCGAATGCATTGAACAGAAAATGTGCATATGTTGTAGAGTCTGAAATATCAAAACAGGAGTATCATTAAGTTAGGGTTTCTATAGCCTACATGGGACTTAGATAGCTGGTCCAAGCCTCCTTTTATTCAGAAAAATTAGTACCTTCTTCTTTAGCATCTATTTTCTTTCCAGCTGCTCACCTACTCTTGGCAGAGGATTGCAATGTGAGATTCAGAGGAATGAGCTAAATGCACAGAGGCCTCTGGTGACAGACATCCTTTATGAGTTTCTGGCTGGAAAAGCATGTGAGTCTTGGATGTTGATACCAATCCAGGATAAGTAATGGTCCCATAGGTGGGTGTAAGGATTAAGTGAGACATGTCTGGAATTGCTTTGTGCTTGGCAGAGACTATCTCTAGAAGTAAAGTAATAAGTATAAAAATAATGAGACAGAGATGACTTGCTACTATTAGAGTTCTTTATTAGTTCTATCCTCATTTTTACAACTCAAGGAAGGATATTAGGACATAGGTTGAGAAACTTGTCCAAAGTCACAGTCACAGTTATCTGTGACATGAAGATTCTGATCCCAGCCTGCTCCCAGAAGAGATGGATGGTAGATGGAGGGGAAGGTGACTTGGGAAATTTCTGGGGATTGTGTGGTCCTCAAGATTCCCAGTTGCATACACTTACTTAAAGGAACCCCTACCCTGTCTGGGTCCTGTGTAAGATTCAAAGCTCTGGGACAAGTACGAATGGGTCTCTGTCCCCAGTCCTCATGATGCTATGGACAGTGAAATCCAACTTTTCCTCCTTGCTTGCTTCCTGTTTTTCTCCCTTTCTCGTCTTATGCTTCTCCTTTATCTCCCTAATCTCTGAACTCTTTCATTTTAAAAGTGTACATTTTTATTATTGTTTTCTTAGTGCTCAGATCTCATTTTTAAATGTTTTTTGTGCTTGTCCCTAGATCAAATTTACATGATTATTTTAAATGTTTCATCTCATGGGTTTTAGCCTTTTGTCTTAACCTTTTTTATTATAAGAAAATGTAACCTTTCGGTTCATTGGCTCTAGGCTCTTACTGTCTGTTTAAAATCTCATCTATTTCTATTTTATTATTTTAGTTTTTATTTTATTTGGGATATAATATAATTTCTATTCACTTTTACTTTATGAATTGATTTTAAAAGGCTGCTAAGAAACTAAGTCAATGTAGCAGTAGTAGAGAATTGCCTTCCCCAAATAAAAGAGAGAACAGGCATTCCAGCCATGGATCCTTCCCCTTGCCTAGTCAAAGCTAGCAGGGTTGTTCCCCTTCTTAGAAAGCTTTTACTTCCTGCCAGAGGAAGCCAAATTTTTCTGTGGAATCTCAGGAGCCATAAGTACTAACAGACTTTAGTCTGTTACTTTGCCCCAGTGGTTAATACTATTGAAGGTCATGCATTTTGTTATGCAGACTATACACTCAGTTCTCAAATCTATGGTGGCATTAAAAAAAAAAAAAACTATGGTGGCATGTCCTCTAGTCGTACCATAAAATGTGAGGAATCACTATTTTTAAACACATGAATTGCTGACTTATTTATTTATTTATTTTGGCAGTACTAGATTTTGAACGCAGGGTCTCATGCTGTTTGCAGGCTCTCTACCACTTGAGACATACCTCCAGCCCTTTTTGCTGAAGAGAGGGTCTTACTTTTTACCCAGGCCAGCCTGGACAATGATTCTCCTATTTAAATCTTCCCACCATACCTGAGATGATGGATGACAGGCACAGCACCACTCCTAACTTTTTTTCATTGAGATGGGGTCTTGTGAACTTTATTTCCCTGGTACACTATGGGGCTGTAATTGCCCAATGTTAGCCTCCTAAGTAGCTAGGATCTACAGGCATGAGCCACTAGGGGCCCAGCTGTTAACATTGTTTTTTGATGAACTAACCAGGCACCAAAATTTGGCTTAAATAATGAGAAATAAAACCGTTTTGTCTAAGGTGGATGTTAATCTAGTATTGATGAATTGTAGGAGGAAATCTTTTGGGATTTTTTTTTTTGGATTTACTGTGATTGCTTAGATGTTCCAATATAGACTTATTAAAAATTGGTGCTTATTTTTATTTGCAAAGTTGTTTTGCACTCAATAGTACTTTTTTCATAGACTTCTTAAACTATTCATTGCCCCCTGTGGAGATATGAGTTGATAGGCAGTAAGTTAAGTTTATTTTCATGGGAGAAAAAAAGAAGAGATTTTGCATATTTTATAATGCGCTTCATTAAGCAGGTCTCTTGCTACCCTCTTTCCACAATCAAGGTAAATGTCATTACCTTAGCAAGCACAGCTCACCATGAATAATAGCTCAGAACAGATGATGTTTGCATTTTTTAATTTAAAAAACAAGATAGTATAGTCATAAGATAATTACTATTATTCTCAAATTGGGGTTTCGGTAGCTTTAAAGTTTGACATGTGGCAATGACACTCTCAAGGTTTACACTAATATGGTCTGGAGGACTTTTTGTTCTTCTCAATACACTCTGGCAATTCTTCTAGCAGTTAAACCAGTTTTCCAAGCTTGATTTATCATGCAGAGAACGTTAATAGTGTTATAAAGTCACAATGCTTGAACTTGAACCTCAGCTTTACCAAAGATTAACTGTGTGACCCTGAGTCAGCTCTGTGATTCAGTTTCCTCATCAACAAGACCATGATAACACTCCTATTATGTATTTCGTGAAGTTTAAATGAGATGCTATATATGCAATGTATTTAGGAAACTATTAAATATTCAGAAGTGTTAGGTATTATTATTATTCTTTCATGGACAATCCACTCTTATTTCAACTAATTTAAAAAGTGTGATCAAAACTTCTACAGATGTAACATTTTCCAAAAATTTCTTGTGTTCATGAAGTCCATTTTGTGTGTCTATGTGACTTGAGATCTAATATGATGCAATTTTATGTTCAGTAAATCCAGTAGAGTTATGTCATGAAAGACAATGAGCTTTCTGATGGAGTCTGAATTTCTTCTGATGTGGTGTGAAAATATTTCAAGAAATGCAGTGATGCTACCAGCTTTGATTGGGCAAAAAGAAGGAGCCATGACACTGGAAGGTCAATGAATAGAGTTTTATTTTTATTTTAAGCTAAGTGCCTCATCTGTCTTGCATACAGTGGTTATCCAATGAATATTTATTAACATATTCTTCTGACTTGAGGTCATTCATTCATTCGTTCAGTAGCCATTAAATGAGTATCTAGAATAGTCAACGTAAGTGAAAATTCTCTACAACACAAGCAGAAACAGACCAGGAAATTGCAATTTTCATAGACTTTTGAAATGTTTAAAGAGCTGAGAGTTTATACACTAAAGCGTCCACCATTTGTGGAGCTGGAAAAGTATTTCTATAACTATATAACCAAGAGCACCAACAATCCTTTTCTTTGCTCCTTGTTTTATAGTAGCGATACTTTATCTTCCCTTCAAACAAGATGCTTCTGTTCAATCTAGTTGTGCTGACATCCATCCAGAATGCCAAACAAGTTGTGCTTGGTAAACTGTCTCTCTAAGTCTTAGAGAGCTAAGAGCCTGACAAAATACAAATTGCCCTGATGTTCTGTACAGAAGACAAAGCATTTTCACAGAAGAAATGGTGAGAGGTTCTGATTTACAGAAACATCACCATCTGAAAGGAGAGAAACCTGTTGCTCTCAGACCAGCAACCTGAATAAATGACACTACATGCATGGGGATATGATGTTGCCTAGAACGTGAATCTCCCTTCTATCTGAGGTTGTATACTTATTTAGGACATTTTTCCTTTGCTAGCATGACTGTAAGACATAACGTGCATGCATAATATTAATTTTTTTTTCATTTTTCTTTTATTATTCATATGTGCATACAAGGCTTGGTTCATTTCTCCCCCCTGCCCCCACCCCCTCCCTTACCACCCACTCCGCCCCTCCCGCTCCCCCCCTCAATACCCAGCAGAAACTATTTTGCCCTTATCTCTAATTTTGTTGTAGAGAGAGTATAAGCAATAATAGGAAGGAACAAGGGGTTTTGCTGGTTGAGATAAGGATAGCTATACAGGGCATTGACTCTCATAATATTAATTTTTTAAATTGCAAGTCATCATTCTTTAAAATATCTCATTCCCTGCAATGTTGTCTGATACTTTTAGATTTACACATTCAATTAACAAGAATAATCAAGGAACTTTTAAGACAGCAAAAGTGATTTTTCCTCAAATCCCTTTGGATTTGTAGTAAGAATCCTTTCCAAAGTAGATTTCTCTGCTTAAGTAGATATTTTTTAATGTGGAAATGTTTTTCAAATAGAGATAAAATTTTAATATGGAGCTGTATACAATTGGTACCATATGATAACTGATACCTGCCTGCAGTCTGTCAAAATAGGTGTCATGTGTACAATGCAGTAGTGAAGTGGGAGGTGGAGGCTGTCATCCATAGTCTGTTCGACCCTATGCAATAATAGCTCTTCCTGTGTTTTCCCAGAATTATAATTTAATTCTTTTAGAAGATCTTTTTTTTTTTTTTTGAGGTACTAGGGTTTGAAACCAGGTCTACACCTTGAGCCTCTCCACCAGCCCTTTTCTGTGAAGGGTTTTTTGAGACAGGGTCTTGCGAACTATTTGCTACGCTGGCTTTGAACTGGGATCCTTACCTCCTGAGTAGCTAGGATTATAAGCATGAGCCACCAGCACCTGGCTTAAAAGATATCTTTAAGAAAAATTTGTTTTGTTAATTCATGCATAGGGTTTTCTCAAACCCAGAGAAATACCTAACACCAAATGGATTGCAAAACAAAAGGTAATCAAATTTTTGCATAAAACTACTAAAAGCTGTACCCTTTCAGATTGATTTTACAAATATTAGTCCTTTGTACAGTCAGATATACCAGGTAGATTTGTATCATTTATTTATTCACTCATTATACAATAAGTATTTATCAACTGTTATTTCTTGTCAGTCACTGTTTCATGACCTTGTAGATATAACAGTAATGAAATAGAGAAAACCTCCATTCACTTGAGCTGACATTCTGGTGGGGAGAGAGAAAATGAACAACAAAAGTGAGTAAAATATGTAGCATTAGGTGGTCTTGAATGCCAAAAAGAGATGGAAAGCAGAGGAAAGGGATGGAGAATGTATTAGGGAATATAGGTTAAGAGTGGATGGTCAGGAAAGGCCCCACTGAGAAGACAGCATTTGAGTAAAAGCACAGGTGGTAAGATATTGAGATGGATATTGGTGAGTAGCAAGTGCTAGGCACAGAGAATAGTAAGTTCAAAGTTCAGAAACAGCAAAATGACTATTGTGTTAGTGGAATGGTAAGGAAGCCCATGTGGCTGGAATGGAATGAATCGAGAGAATGGGGAAGATAAAGAAGAGAGAGAACTTGAGATCAGTGGCATAATTTACAGGTTACAATCCAAATTGCTGTGAATATTCTGAGGGGCTGGGAGGTTTTGAGTAGAACAGTGATATGATACTGCTTGCATTTTAACAGGATCGCTATGGCTCATTTCAAGAACTGACTATGGTTAGGGGCATGGGTGTCAGAATCAGAAGCTATTGAAGCTACTTTGTCAAGAGATGATGGTGGCTCCTTTAAATGGGAAGTAAATTGAAAAGGTGATGTTGAGATAATTGCAAAGTCTGCTCTGGCCAAAACCACAGAAAGAAGAAATGGTTGTTCCCTGTGTTGAATAGAAGTCAAGGCTATAATGAAGACTAGATGGTACTCTATTTTTTTTTTCAAGGTGAAGTCTTCTTAGACTCCTGACTCATGTCCGCCACCTGCTCTGTTTCATCTCCATCTCCTTCAAAGTTGAATTCTATTTATTATCAACTCTCTGCTTTACACAAGTAACATTTATCTTTTTATAAGCTCTTTCTCTACATATAAGCAAGTTTCATCCTTTCTTATGTTTAAAAAAACAAAAACCAAAAAACGAAACTCTTTCTCCTTTACTTGCCTGGCACTGTCATCTGCTTTCTCCTCCTCTTCTCCATGCCAAGTTTCTTGTATAGGCTGTCTCTAGAGGTATGTCTTACTATCCATCACACTTTTGTCCTCTGCACTTTGGCTTCTGTCTATATCCCACCCTTCTCCCATATTAAAGTTGCTCTAATGGTAGTTAACACTGACCTCCTTGTTGCCACATCCCAAGGATACCTTACTGGATCTCTTGGCTACAGAGTTTAATGTCTCGATTCTCTTCATTTCTGAACTATCAGTCTCCCTTGGGTTTATTCCCATGTCTGTCCATCTCCCTTTGACTTACTCCCCTTTCATTAGCTGTTGATTATCTGTCTCCTTCATGGATTCTGTTTCCTTCTAATGGTCTTTAACATGTATTCTGGACTTTCATGTTTGACATACATGGCTTGCTCAGCACTTTATACATTCGTCCCAGTAACCTTATCCATGTCATGGATTTAGCTACTGTTTTGTAGTTAATAATACTAAATATCTATTTTCTCTGATATTTTCCCCTGAGCTTTAGATCTCCATGAACTTCTTGTTGATCCTAAATACCCACAGACACTGTAAATGTAATTTTTCCAAAGCTGAGAACATTACTGCCATCATCCCACTCCTGTAATAAGTTACCTGATACGAATGACAGACTTCTGGAAGTTATTGCAAACCCTTTTACCTCAAAAAGTCAATAGACCATCAAAATCTGCCATTTTTATCATGTAAATATGTCTTTAATCCGTCCTATTTTTTACTGTGGGCTCTGGTTAATGACCTAGTTTTCCCTCCTGAAATAACCTTCTAATTAGTCTTCTTGTCTGAGTATTTCCTGCTTCAAATTAATCCTCCACAGAGCTAACAGTGGATTGTAAAACACAAATCTGACCCTCACAGCTCCTACTTCAACCCATTAGCAACTATGCATTACCTCAAGAATAAAGTTCCTGTTTCTTAACATGGCATCCACAACTCCAGGACATTTCCCCCCAAATTATACCCAAATCCCCACATTTTCCTGAAAATGCTCACTTTCATTTTTATGTTTTATCTCTTTGCTTACACTTCATTATCTTAGAACATCCTTGTGCTTAAAGCAGGAAGACATCCTCGTCATCAGGAAAACTTCTCCAGAGAGATATGATGAGCCACTGAAGGATTTATATACTTTGGAAGTAGACTGACCTCTCTGCACCTTACTTTCCATATTTGTAAAGAGGGAAGGTCCCAAGTTGAGCTACTGAGTGGTGAAAGATAATCCAAGCCAGAGCCCAAGAAGTATTAGACACTGCTGGAAAAGCTTCAACTTTAGCTCAGACTCATTTTACCTGGATATCCTCTTTTGTATTTTCTCCCTGTTCTCCAGATTATTTAATTATGCTCGCACTGGGCTCACACAGTACTGTTTTTAAATCTCCATCTTTCCACTTATCCCTTTTTTTGACATTGTCCCTTTGCTATGCTAGACTATAATATACTTTTGGGCAAGAACCACCTTCCATTGTTCTAACTTCTTCTACATAGCAGCACCTCACATACAGCTGGGCACACCCTAGGCTGGGTGACAAATTAAAAATGAGCATCTGTTGATGGAAGGAAAAACTGTAAGATCCAAAGGTCAATGCATCTCTTCACTCATCTCTAACATATATGTAACATAATTCTGTTATGCTTGTGTTTTATTTCTAATTAAAATAATATCTAGAGTGTATTTTCTCAGATCAGGGGTCAGAGAAAAAAGTCGCTGGGAGTTAGAGGGACAGAAGGCGGTAAATTAGATAAGGCTATAGAGCAATCTAGGTTATAACCTAGATCTGCCACTGAATTGATATGTGACCCTGAGCAAACCATGTAAATTCTCTAAGTCCCAGATTTCACATCTGTAAATTGAAGATAATTACATTTGTCCTAATTTAGAGAGCTAGGAGAATCAAATGAGAACTATAATAAAAGTGAGAATCTTATACCATTTTAAGGACACCTATAAAAGTCACAAAAGCAGTGAGAACTTGAAAGCCATAGTTCTGGGCACCCAGGATTACTTGTATTAAACTTAAAAAGTAACCTCTTAAATATTTGATAATTTAGAAGTAGCTCACTTTTATGATACACAGAAAGTTCTATGCACTTGGATGCAGTGTATCAATTATTCTACACAAAGATTAAAAATGTAGGATCATGCCATGAAAGATTAAACCAATCTTGAGATTGCAAGCATAATTCTAACTCTGAGAGTATGTTAACAAGTCCACATTTGTACTTACCTCCCTGTGGAAAGAACTGTGAGTAAATCTCTTTGAAGGTTTCTTCATTAACAACACCACTGGGGCATTCCTAGAGAAAATGGCAGAGAAGCAATATAAGCAAAGTGTTCATAAAACTGATATTTTGCACATTTTGAAACAGAACTGTCTGCCATGCAAAATTGCAAAAGAACTTTAGCCATCCATCCATTACTACAAAGAACAAAAGCACATTTTAAGCATGTCTTTGTTCCGGTTCTTACAGAATAAAAATGCACAATTGCAGATGTGAATATCTTTGCATATTGAGCGTCAAACCAGGTATGACATATTTGAAAACATTCAGCTGCTTTTAAACAAATGGATATGAGATGTGAGGAAATTGTATTTTCATACCACCAAGATACTGACAGAGGCTTATACTATGATATTTACTGGATGTTGGTTCCATGTCTTCTTGAGATTTTTGAACCCACATAATCTTGAGTACAATTGGAAACTGAATTGGGTCTATGATGGTTTAAGAGATTCAAGAAGGAATAGTTCCAAGCTATTAACAGGTTGTTTCAGAATATACAATGACAGGGTCTTATAACAAGTGAGACTGGGTGATATAGGACTCCAAGAGTTTTGATCTTCTGGAGAGTAGGGTCTACAAAGGAACATAGCTGACCATAGCTTAATGAGTTCCTAGTTTTGTCTCTTGGAGGGGTTTTTGAAGACAAAAGGATACTTACCTTAGGAAATGAACTAACATTGAACTATTGACCCAGAGGGATTATAGAGCAAAGTTACCTTTTCAGAGTGAATTTGGCAATTTTTTTTCTAAAAGGAACTGGAATATCAAATGTCAGAAGAAGTTAGTCTTGGAGCAGAAATAAATAAGGGCTAAGAGACTGAGTCTTACATTGAGGTGAGGACAAAATAACCTCCCATCCCTAGAGGTACAAGAAGAATCTGCACAGGGATCTGAGATACAGAGTCCCTGTGAGAAGAAAAGACTGACAATCACATAGTTGTCCTGCACTGAAATGCATGTGGAGTGCTTACTGTATGCTGTAGGTTGGGAAGTGATAAACTCTGCTCAATCATTCTGAGGAGCTTCTTATAAGCAGGTCCATGGCTTGAGTTCCTCATACTCAAGCTGTCATAGTACTTCTATACAATTTGCAATCCCCCCAGGACTAAGGTCACTGGGAAGAACAGGGAAGGTGCTAACTTCCCAAGAGAACTGATTTTAGACCTGAATATTCTGTGCCCTTTAAAATCAACTCTGTTCCTGAGATCCTCATCAATTATCTGTTGTGGTCTTTAAAGCTTATTTTAATCCTCAATTTCATTGTCCCCTCACTAATAAACTTGCTTTATTAATTTGATCTTTCTTTATTCCAATAAGTCAGGTAGTTACTCACCTGTAATGTGCCTCACAAGAGAAATTTCCTGTTGTCTTATTTGGTTGTTTGAGAAGTAAGGCCTTGATATGTAAACAATTTTAGTTAATAGCTTTAATGTAAATTTGTATTTTTAGAGCTTGTCAACATATTTTTCTCCAATTTGATTATTATAATAAATCTTCAATTATGTAGCAGAATATCTCCATTCACATTCATATCAGATTAGAGGTGCTGAGTATTAAAGCACCTAGTTACCCAGCAAGACAGAAGGGATGCTGAAAGACGGGCTTAGAAGTTACCAAGTCACTATAGGGTTTTGTATTAGATGAGACCTGTAGAAGCAATGATGACTCCAAGGACTGATGCAAAGAAAAGACAATAAATACAAATGAGCAAAAAAAGCAAGCAAGTAAACTAAACAATGATGATTAATTTTTTGTACTAACTTGTCTGGGCCTTAGGGCCCAAGTATTTGTTCAAGCATTTTGTGGATGTTTCTGTGAAGGTATTTATGGATGAGATTTACATTAAAATTGGTGGACGTTGAGTAAAGCAAATTTGCTCTCTATAATGTTGGTGGGACTAATTCTACAAGTTGAAGGCTTGAAAAGAGCAAAAACTGACCTCTCTAAGCAAGAGGGAATTCTCCAATAGATGCTTTCACACTTTTCATATTTCAGCAGCAACATCAGTTCTTCTCTGGTTCACCAAGAGATTTCCTTTGGACTTGAACTACAAGCCTTTCTTGATTGATTGTCCAGCTTGTTGGTTTCCTCCATCAGACTTTGGACTGGACAAACCTCAACAATTTGTGACCCAGTTCCTTAAGATCTCCCTCTCTCATCTATTTATATGTCTATCATCTATCTATCCTATTTGTTCCCCCACACACATGTTTGGCGAACCCTGACTAACACATAAATGAACTAACAATCAATAGCTATGGTTCAAAAGTTTTAATTAAATATCTCTTCAGTTGGCAGTAATACACCAATTATAACAGTAAATAAACACCTTTTAGTTGGGCCCTATCACTCACAGAAATTGTGATTTATTAGCTATTTAACTTTGAGCCATCTGTTTGGAATAGAATGGAGAGAGCAAATACTTGGTTCTCTGCCATCAGGTAGAAAATTGGTGCAAGGTCAGCACTGGAAAACTGCCTCAGAGTTAAAGTGATGCTGGCAAAAGATGAGAGTGTGTAGTAAAGAGAAGTCTACACTTGTCAGCTGCTTTTGGTCCTGAGACACATTCGATAGATATATCTTATAATTTGAAATGATATTTAGAAATTTTGTTTGTTTTGTGTTTAATCACATGTCTGAATCGTGTGAAATAGTTTTTCTACCAAATGAAAATTCTTAGTCAAGTTCCAAGGTGGTAAGTCTCACCAAGAAAATTTGTCTTTATTCATCTCATGTTTTCACATTAATTTTCATTCTAGAAAAAAATATATATCATAGGGCTATTATTATTGCAGATCTGGAAGCTGGACAGCACCAATAAACAAGATAAAGGTCCTGCCTTCATAGAACCTACCTTCAAATACAAGAACAAAGACTTAGTCAATTTGGTCTGCTATAACAACAATACAACAATATAAGACTACATTACTTATAAAAGAGAAATTTATTTCTCACAATTTTAGATGCTATAAAGCCCAAGATCACAGGGTCATCAGACTCAGTGGCTGGTGAGGGCCCATTACTTACTGATAGGATGAACTGTCTAAATTCTTATGTGGTGGAAGAGTGAGGGAGCTCTCTAAGTTCTTTTATGCAAGGGTTCTATCCCAGTCATGAGAGTCTGCCTTCATGGTTCCTATCTCCATAATACTATCACCTTGGGATTAGGATTTCAATTTGTGATCTTAGTATGGGGGTACACAAACATTCAGACCACAGGAAAGAAAAAAATTAAGATGAAAACAAACCCAGAGAATAATGTCCATTTATTTATTTTAGACTTCTCATTGAAACCAGTGCATTTTTCTATTATTATCTTTTTCTTTTTTCTGGTGGTACTGGTCTTCTTGAACCATCTCCTGGTCCTTCTATGTTTAGTCTGTTTTTCAGGTAAGGTCTTGTGCTTTTGCCCAGGCTGGACTTGGACTGTGATCCTTCTACCTCTGCCTCCTATGTAGCTAGGATTAAAGGCAGCATTTTTTTCCTCTCTCACTCTCTTTTTTTTTGTACTGGGATTTGAACTCAGGGCTATATCTTGAACCACTTAGACTGCCCCCTTTTTAATGAAGCATGTTTTCAAGATAGGTTCTCACAAACTCTTGGCCAAGGCTGGCTTCAAACTGTGATCCTCCTGATCTCCGCCTCCTGAATAGCTAGGATTACAGACATAAGCCACCAGTGCCCTGGTAGTAAGTGAGATAAATTTAGCAAACTATGAGACTACAGTGATTTACAAGACAGCACAAATAATCTATTTTTTAACTTTTTCCTCATTCTTTTGTAGAATTTTCTGTCTACAAAAGTGGTCTCTGCAACTCTCTATGAAGAATAAGTTTGGCCAGGTTGTATATGCAACAAAGTGTACAATGTAAAATAGTTAAGCTAATTCTTGCTGTGGTAACAAATAAGCCCTAACTTAATAATACATTTAAAAGAATATTGTACATTTCTTGCTCATGTAACAGTCTTAGGTGAAAATAAAGATCAGCTGATGTTTCTTCTTCTCAGTCATTAAGAAATAGTAGCTATGTTACCCACCATTAGCATATGGCTTTAAAATCTCTGATTGACTCATCCAGAAGGAAGAAAAGAACATTGAGGCAGGTACACGGAATACTCATATGGACCAGGACTCAAAGTAGCACACGTTGTTTCCATTCTCATTCTTTTTAGTTAGAAATCACTTAATATGTCTACCATAGCAGTAAGGGAAGTCTTGAATACTCAAGATTAGAACATAAATTTGCTGAATAGTTAGAAATTCCTGCCCCAGAACCATAGTTGAAAGATAGGACAAATACCTGCTCTGAAATAATTTTCCACCAACTTTTTAACATGACCAATATCAAATAATTTAGCAATATACACTGTCTCCATTTTTGTGGTGGCACTTTTAAATGTTGATACTTTTATGTAAGCAGGTACAATGAAGCCTAACCATTTGAATATGAACTTTGTCATTAGAATTTCTTAAGAAGAAGCATTCAAGGTTTAAGGAAACTGACGAATACCTCATTCTTCTGGTTTTTGAAAAGTTATTATAACCTTCTGCTGGCTGCCTGTGCCTTCTATATTATGTTTTTAATGACATCGTGTCTGATTATTAATAAACAGTTATTCCATGTAAAGTTGATCATTATGAAAAAAAATAAGGTAAATAAAATCACCCATAATCCACCTATTGTAAAAATATTTTGGACATTTATTTAAACATATATTATATACTGTATAAGTAAAATTGAAATAATACAATGTATAGTATTTTAACTTAGTATCTTTTAATTGAAGTGTCCTGAACATTTTCCATGTCATGGTTTTAATGGCTGCATGACGCACCCATTGAACTTGCCATTGTTGTATATTTAAATGATTTCAGCATTTTTGGAACTACATGGGAATAATGATGTAATTAATATTCTGGTGCATACATCTGTGACTGCACCTGTGGTTTTTTCTTTATGACTAATCCCAGAAGGAGAATCACAGAACCAAAGGGTTTAAGCCATACAAGG